GGCACTGACAAAGACACCTTCATGAAAACTGCACAAAGAAGGATATCACACCACTTTTTCTTTGGGATTTCGGTTAGTAACTTGAGACCAGTGGGGTTTCCCATTGGTCCCACCATGAAGAAGACCTGCAAGGATTGGCGGATGGCAGAGATAAGGAAACTTCTCGGCTATCAAAAGTTTGTTTTTGAAGGCTTTCGTGGCCGGAATCAATGGGTTGCTGTGAGTTTTCGAGGCTATATGGCCATGTTCCAGAAGCATTGTCTCCTGACGTTTCACCCACATCTATGGCAGGCACCCTCAAAGGTTGTGAGGTCTGTTGGAAACTAGGCAGCGTTTGTATATCTGTGGAATAATGTCCAGGGTGGGAAAAAGAACTCTGGTCTGCTTGAGGCAAGTGTGAATGTCGCCATTGGACACCTTGATTAGCACTGAATGGCCTTGCAGCTTCAAAGCTTGGCTGCTCTCTGCCTGGGGGAATCCTTTGTTGGCATTGCAGACTAACTCAACCAGAGGAGTCCGCCATAGGAGAGCACCCGATGCATCAACGTGGACACAGATATTATTTGAGAACACAGAAATGCTGGATCACTCTCACAACCACCATGTCAGACTATACAGAGAAGCCATTTAAATCCACAAGCATGTGGACAATTTCAACAGAAAGGAGGAAACCATGAAAATGAACAAAATCTGCCTACCAGTATTAAAAAAAACTCTAAAATCAGGACATAAATAAATCAAGAGCAAAACTTAAAAAACAGGAGAATTCTGGACATGAAACAATCGGGACCAGTTAATACCTTCCAACAAAGGATTCCCCCAGGCAGGAAGCAGGCAGGCTTTGAAGCTGCAAGGCCATTCAATGCTAATCAAGGTGGCCAATTGCAGCATTCACACCAGCCTCAAGCAGACAGGAGTTATTTCTCCCACCCTGGACATTCAACAGAGATATAAACCTCATTTGCCTAGTTTCCAACAGACCTCACAATTCTCTGAGGATTTCTGACATAGATGTGGGCGAACCATCAGAAGAGAATGCTTCTGGAACATGGCAAGACAGCCCAGAAAACTCACAGCAACTCATCCAAGGGTTTTTTTCCAGTACATTTCAACTTCAAACACTCAGGGAAGCTTAAAACTCTGTGGTTCATTTGCAGTCACTGAAATGTCTCATTCTGTGTACCATTTTGATGATGATTATTAGTATTAGTACTAATACTAATACTAATAATATTCCAGTTTTATCTCAATTGAGATGCAATCAAGATTCCTAGCTGGAAACAGGAATTACTTTCCACCCGTCAAAGAGTAGCTTTGGGTGCATCTACACCCGGCACGGGCAAACTTGGTCACTCCAGATGTTTTGGACTTCTACTTCCACAATTCCTAACAGCAGGTAGGAGTCCAAAACACCTGGTTGGGCTTAAAGCCAACCTTAAAAACTGTGACATAGACACCAAGAATTGTGAAGCCCTAGCCCTTGAGCGCTCTAACTGGAGGTCAGCTGTGACCATCAGTGCTGCAGAACTCAAAGAAGCACAAATGGAAGGCAAAAGGGAGAAATGTGCCAACCCTTCCGCCTGGAAACCGATGCCCTCACTGTGGGAGAACATGCGGATCAAGAATAGGGCTCCACCACCACCGCCAAGACACTGCACTTGGAGGACCATCATCCTCAAGCTACGAGGGACTGCCTAACAGTAACAGCAACTGGGTTGTTGTACTTTTTTGGGCTGTATGGCCATGTTCTAGAAGCATTCTCTCCTGACGTTTTGCCTGCATCTTTGGCAAGCATCCACAGAGATTATGACCTCACAACCTCTGAGGATGCCTGCCATAGATGCAGGTGAAACATCAGGAGAGAATGCTTCTAGAACATGGCCATACAGCCTGAAAAACCCAGTAATTCAAACCATGAAAGCTTTCGACAATACATAGTAACAGTAACAAAACATCTGGAGGGCCCAAGTTTGCCCATGCACAATCTACACCATGGCATTAACACAGTTTTATATCACTCTAAGTGCCATGGGCTCAATGCTAGGGAAACCTGGGAGCTGTAGCTTTGCAAGGCCTTAAGCCTTCTCTATCAAAGAGGGCTGCTGCCTCAGCAAACTACAACTCCCAGCATTCCATAGCATTGAGCCACAAGGATTTAAGTGGTATCAAGCTGAATTCATTTAACAGATATTCCCCTTGGAGACATTCTCATCAAGGCTGACTAGAAGAAATTAATTTACTGACATAAAAATTCGAAGAAAACATTTCACACAAAAAAACAACAACGGATCGGTCCCTTCCTTGCAGTGAAAATTTCATCCTGAAATTCTAAACTTAACCAGCAATGAATTCAAACAAGTTTGGGCAACCTGGGTGGGCTATTTTGGGAGGGGGGCACTGAGATGCACAAAATAAGGACCCACTGGGTTGCTTCAACAGCACATAAGGACCCACTATTTCCTCACTTTGTTCTCAAAGGAGGAATTTTGTGCGATTTTTCTTCTCGCGGCACGAAAAATCTTCAAAAGCGGAATTCACGACTGCAGATTATATCTTATTGTCCATTTCACTGAAAACACAATTTCCTGCAGAAGAAGCAACGTTTGCCCCCAGGAAAATACCATTTACAGTGGAAGCCCTGGCCCTTGAGTGCTCTAACTGGAGGTCAGTTGTGACCAGCAGTGCTACAGAATTCAAAGAAGCACGGATTGAGGCTGAAAGGGAGAAGCGTGCCAACACTGACTGGGAGCACCTTCCACCTGAAAACCGTGGGAGAACAAGTGGATCAAGAATAGGGCCCCACAACGCCTCCACTGCCTCCTCGATCGTGGGGCCCAAGTGGCAGCAAGAGGTCCAGGAAGCAGCGAGGAGGAAGAAGAGGAAGGTAAAGAGGATGAGAGGGTGGCTCTTCTTCCATCCTCACCCTCTTTACCTTCCTCTTCCTCCTCCTCATTGCTGCCTGGGACTCTTGCTGCCACTTGGGCCCCGCAACGCCTCCTCAATCCTCCTCAATCGCGGGGCCCAAGTGGCAGCAAGAGGCTCAGGAGGCGGAGAGGAGGAGGAGGAGGGTAAAGAGGACGAGGGGGTGACTCTTCTTCCATCCTTGCCCTCTTTACCTTCCTCTTCCTCCTCCTCATTGGTGCCTGGGACTCTTGCTGCCACTTGGGCTGCCTCCTCAATCGCGGGGTCTAAGTGGCAGCAAGAGGCAGGCAGCAAGGAGGAGGAAGAGGAAGGTAAAGAGGGTGAGAGGTTGGCTCTTCTTCCATCCTCGCTCTCTTTACCTTCCTCTACCTCCTCCTCATTGCTACCTGGGACTCTTGCTACTACTTGGGCCCCATGATGCCTCCGCTGCCTCCTCGATCACGGGGCCCAATCGGCGGTGTTTTGGGAGGGGGGGGGGGTTGTTTTTTTTTTTGGGGGGGGGTTTTTTGTTGGGGTTGGGGGGGGTGGCAGCAAGAGGCTCAGGAGACGGCGAGGAGGAGGAAGAGGAAGGTAAAGAGGACGAGGGGGTGGCTCTTCTTCCTTCCTTTCCTCCAGAGGGAAGAAGAAGCTTCGGGAAGAGGCACAAGCGGCGACGAGGTGCCCCATTTTCTCTTTCACTCAGTGTTCCCTCGCTACTTTAATTCTTTTTTGTTAAAAAACCATGAAACAGCGAGTCCGCAATAAGCGAACTGCGAAGTAGCGACGGACCACAGTATAGGCAGAGCTACGATTTTCTGTGCAAAAGAACTACTTTCTGTACAAAAAATGTTGGATGGCCCATCTAACTCTAGGATTCTATGTCCGTGGACAGAAAGGAGCAGCTACAGAATGGTCAACAAATACAAATAAATGGCTGCAAAGGGTGTTGTGGACGGAGGTGCTGCACACACCAACCAGGAAAGTGACCAACGGCGGAGTGATTTCCAATTGTGTGTTTGGAGGTACAGTAGAGTCTCGTTTATCCGACATAAACAGGCCAGCAGAACGACGGATAAACGAAAATGTCGGATAACATGGAGTCTCCTACTGTTACCCATCTGACGCGCAGTTACACACCATAAATACTAACAACAGGGACTCAAAAGGTTAAGGCAAGGCAATGCCTCGGGACTAGAGAGGCCCAGAAGGAAGTGCCTGGATGCGGAAGAGGAGCGTGGAAATCACAGAGGGAAGGAGGGAGGATGCTTCCACTTGCCTCTTTTCTCTCTTTCCTCCCTCCTCCTCCTCTTCCTTGTTTTGCCTTTTTCAATTATTGGGAATGGAGATAGGGAATGGGGAGCACTTCTTTAATTGGAGGGGAAATGCTGGAGGAAAAGGGAGGCATCAGATAAAAGCGTCGGATAAGCGAAGGTCGGAAAAGCGAGACTCTACTGTATCTTCAGGTCGTCGACTTACAGCAAACCATGGATTCCGTAAAGCTTTCTTCGGCAAGGTACACTGAATAATAAAACCTATGGTAACTAAGATGCATTGGTGGTCTCCCATCCAAGGATGAACCAGGGTTGACCCTACTTAGCTTCACGGTTCGGCCAGGATTGGGTGCCTTTACAGCACTTAGGCCCTCATTTGTAATGATGTTACCAATGGGATTCGTACCTAATAGCTATAGGGTTGCATTGGGATGTGTATAGCGCTTCCTCCATACTTTTAGCAACTCTCCCAAAAATGGGTTTCTATTCCTGTTTAGAAGGGGAACGACTCGCCTTGCTACTGCTCACAACAAATCAAAGCAGGGTCACAAAACAATGATGTGGAAAGGCCTTTTTCTGCTCTCGGCCTTTGCCTCGACATCCGCGGCGTCCATCCCGACAATTCCGTATTCTGCATTTCCTTTGTTTTTCCCTTTTGAAGCCAGAGGCGAAAGTGAGCGTTGGATCCCGAGGAAGAGAAATGGCAAACGATACAGCGGGAAAGGAGGCGAGGGAGATGGAGCGGATGGGGAGCAGTTCGGGCAGACAGGGACAGAAAGCAAAAAAAACCCAAAACCAAACGAGCGAACGAACCAAAGCGACGCGGCATTTGTTTCCCAAAAAACGTCGGGGTGCTTTTTTGTTTCCGTTTTTTTTTGTTTGTTTGTTTTACACGCGGATCACATATATATACAGAAAAAACACACATACACGCACACGCACCATGAGGTCTGCTGAAGGCAAAAATAGATCAGATCGGCAAAAAACGACGACGCGAGACGTGAGCGAGGACAGCGGCCCACGGCTGCGCTTCTACCGGGCTCCGGCCCTGGGCCCCACTCCTCTCTGGGGCCCGGAAAGAGAGTCTGGTATTGGGTCCTGTGAGATTGGTATTGATGGGGGACTCGGGCTCTGTCATGTGCCTAAAATCCGGCCACAGGATGTCAAGTTTCCAAACTAAGGGCCTTTAGGAATCCGCAGATCTTCGGGATTCGCTCCAGGAAAAAAAACAACAATAAATTCCAGGCCAGGTTTTGCCAGCAGCCGTAGACGATCTGAGCTTCTCAGTATTGGTTTACAGCTCCTAAGTGAAGGAAGGGAGAAGGGAGGAGTCAAAACTCGGAACTGGAGTTTCTTCTTCTCCTCATTGCCACTGGACCCGGGTTGCATCCAGAGAAGGCGGAAAAACCTGGATCTGGACGGGTTCGCACCAACCTGGGAGGAGGAGGGCTTTTTGGAGCCAAAGTCCTGTGCTGGATTGAGTAGGGTTTCCGGGATCCGGTTCAGGATCTGATGGGATGGCAGCAGAGTGGCCTCAGCAAAGGCAGATTCCGGAGGCCAGGGCCAGGTCTTTTCACAGTAGAAGTACTATTGCAAAATTAAAAAAAAAAATAATGGGGAGGGGAAGCGTAGTTTTCGGAGAGCAAGACGGCTGGGTTACATTCTCTTTGCCGCTCCCATAGAGGAGTCCTTTTGGGTGGCAGCCGCTGCCCGTTGACAGGGTTTGGGGTTCAAAATCCCCCCCGCTTCCCTTCTCCCCGGAGCTGAGACTTTGGCGGAGATGACGGTGTTCCCCTTCGTACTCGGTGCATTATAAGGGCTGCTTCTGCAAAAGAAAGAAAGGAAAATTAATATCAAAATAGTAGGACATCAAGGCATTTTTGGAGGGTGCCCATTCTGTTGTGTGAAAGGTTTGCCAAGGGAAAGGTCTCTCCTAGATGACATTCAGATCGCACTGGAAGTAATTGCTTTGTTTTAAAAGCAAAGGGAAGTCAATATCAAGCAGCAGACACATTTCAACACATCAATATCCTAGCCTTTTGTATTCTCCAACCCGCCACCAGAAAATACCTGGATTAAAAGTTTTAAAGAACGCTTTAAGGGGTGCTGTGTCATGTTTAATACTACTACTACTACTACTACTAATAATAATAATAATAAGACGAAGAAGAAGAAGAAGAAGAAGATTGCACAGATGGACTACAAGCAGAGGCACAACACCGTTGCTCAGATGATCCATTGGAACCTGTGCCACAAATGGTATCTGCCAGCGACAAAAAACTGGTGGGATCACAAGCCAGAAAAAGTTACAGAAAATGAACACATCAAACTACTTTGGGACTTCTGAAGTCACACAGTTTTGGAGCACAACGCTCCTGACCTCACAATTGTGTTAAAAAACCAAGTATGGATCATCGATGTTGCAATCCCAGGTGACAGCAGGATTGAAGAGAAACAACTGGAAAAGCTGACACGATATGAGGATTTAAAGATCGAACTGCAAAGACTCTGCCACAAACCAGTCAAGGTGGTCCCAGTGGTGATCGGCACACTGGGTGCAGTGCCTAAAGACCTTGGCCTGCACTTAAACACAATCGGCGCTGACAAAATTACCATCTGCCAGCTGTAAAAGGCCACCCTACTTGGATGTGCATGCATTATTCGCTGGTGCCTTAGACAATCCTAGACACTTGGGAAGTGTCCGTCGTGTCATCCAATACAACAGCCAGCAGAGTGACCTTGTTTGCTGTCAGGTCCTGTTTCAGTGTCAATTGTCTTTCTGATGCACTTCATCTCATCCCTCATTTGAGAATAACCTCATTGTTTATCCCACCCGAGTCTCTCACTAAAAACAGCACTTTATCTATCTACCTCACACCTCAAGTTTTACAATTTTCTCTCCTCGCTCTTGGCCCAGCTCACCTTCATTTAATTTTTTGTACTGTTTTTATACTCTGTTTTATTATGTTGTTATTATTTTATTGTCTTATTATGCTATTGTATAAGCGTTTTTACTAGATGTTGTCATGTGTCTTGTATGTATTTTATTTTGCTTTATTGTAATTCCTTGTGCTTGGCCCCATGTTAGCCGCCCCGAGTCCCTTCAGGGAGATGAAGGCGAGGTCCAAAAAAAGTTTATTTATTTATTATATTATTACTATTTGAAACACAACAAGATGAGTCCACAGCAGACACTCTGCTGGCTGTTGAATTGGATCACACGACGGACACTTCCCAAGTGTCTAGGACTGTGTGATTTATCGGCGAATAATGTGTGCAGATCCCAGTAAGGTGGCCTTCTGCAGCTGGCAGATGGTAATTTTGTCAGCGCCGATTGTGTGTAAGTGCAGGCCAAGGTCTTTAGGCACTGCACCCAGTGTGCCGATCACCACTGGGACCACCTTGACTGGCTTGTGCCAGAGTCTTTGCAGTTCGATCTTTAAATCCTCATATCATGTCAGCTTTTCTAGTTGTTTCTCTGCAATCCTGCTGTCACCTGGGATTGTGACATCGACAATCCATACTTTGTTTTTTAACACAATCGTGATGTCAGGAATGTTGTGCAGCTGTGGCCAACTTATTATTATTAGGTTCTTGTAGGTTTTTTTGGGCTATAGGGCCATGTTCTAGAGGCATTTCTCCTGACATTTCGCCTGCATCTATGGCAAGCATCCTCAGAGGTAGTGAGGTCTGTTGGAAATAGGAAAATGGGTTTATATATCTGTGGAATGATTGGGGTGGGGCAAAAAGCTCTCTGCTGAAGCTAGGTGTGAATGTTTCAGCTGACCACCTTCATTAGCATTTGAAGGCCTGGCTGAGCCTGGGAAAATGTTCTGTTGAGAGGTGTTAAGATGTTCCTGGTTGTTTCCTCTCTGCTGTTTTGCTGTTGTAATTTTAGAGTTTTTTAATACTGGTAGCCAGATTTTGTTCATTTTCATGGTCTCCTCCTTTCTGTTGAAATTGTCCACATGCTTGTGGATTTCAATGGCTTCTCTGTGTAGTCTGACATGGTGGTTGTTGGAGTGGTCCAGCATTTCTGTGTTCTCAAATAATATGCTGTGTCCAGGCTGGTTCATCAGGTGCTCTGCTATGGCTGACTTCTCTGGTTGAAGGAGTCTGCAGTGCCTTTCACGTTCCTTGATTCGTGTTTGGGCAATGCTGCGTTTGGTGGTCCCTAAGTAGACTTGTCCACAGCTGCATGGTACCAGTACCAAACATTCACACCTAGCTTCAGCAGAGAGCTTTTTGCCCCACCCCAGTCATTCCACAGATATATAAACCCATTTTCCTATTTCCAACAGACCTCACTACCTCTGAGGATGCTTGCCATAGATGCAGGCGAAACGTCAGGAGAAATGCCTCTAGAACATGGCCCTTGTTGTTGTTGTTCATTCGTTCAGTCGTCTCCGACTCTTCGTGACCTCATGGACCAGCCCACGCCAGAGCTCCCTGTCGGCTGTCATCACCCCCAGCTCCTTCAAGGTCAGCCCAGTCACTTCAAGGATGCCATCCACCCATCTTGCCCTGGGTTGGCCCCTCTTCCTTTTGCCTTCCACTTTCCCCAGCATCATTGTCTTCTCTAGGCTTTGCTGTCTCCTCATGATGTGGCCAAAGTACTTCAACTTTGTCTCTAGTCTCCTTCCCTCCAGTGAGCAGCCCGAAAAAACCTACAAGAACCTAGTGATTCCAGCCATGAAAGCCTTCGACAATACAACTTATTATTATTATTATTATTATTATTATTATTATTATTATTATTGAGGATTTGAGACTAGGGCAGTGTGGGGTTGAATACCAGCAATTGCCACCAAGCTCATCTATGGCCCAACGAAAAATGGCACACATCCTATACGTTCACCAGATAGAACCAGGATTGGACGTGCGAGTTTGACTATAATATGATGTTGTTGTTGTTCATTCGTTCAGTCGTCTCCGACTCTTCGTGACCTTATGGACCAGCCCACGCCAGAGCTCCCTGTCGGCCGTCACCACCCCCAGCTCCTTCAAGGTCAGTCCAGTCACTTCAAGGATGCCATCCATCCATCTTGCCCTTGGTCGGCACCTCTTCCTTTTGCCTTCCACTTTCCCCAGCATAATTGTCTTCTCTAGGCTTTGCTGTCTCCTCATGATGTGGCCAAAGTACTTCAACTTTGTCTCTAGTATCCTTCCCTCCAGTGAGCAGTCGGGCTTTATTTCCTGGAGGATGGACTGGTTGGATCTTCTCGCAGTCCAAGGCACTCTCAGCACTTTCCTCCAGCACCACAGTTCAAAAGCATCTATCTTCCTTCGCTCAGCCTTCCCTAAGGTCCAGCTCTCACATCCGTAGGTTACTACAGGGAAGACCATGGCTTTGACTAGGCAATGGATCTTTGTTGCCAGTCTGATGTCTCTACTCTTTACTATTTTATCGAGACTGGACATTGCTCTCCTCCCAAGAAGGAAGCGCCTTCTGATTTCCTGGCCACAGTCTGCATCTGCAGTCATCTTTGCACCTAGAAATACAAAGTCTGTCACGGCCTCCACGTTTTCTCCCTCTATTTTCCAGTTGTCAATCATTCTTGTTGCCATAATCTTGGTTTTTTTGATGTTTAGCTGCAACCCAGCTTTTGCGCTATCTTCTTTCACCTTGATTAGAAGGCTCCTCAGCTCCTCCTCGCTTTCGGCCATCAGAGTGGTGTCATCTGCATATCTGAGGTTGTTAATGTTTCTTCCAGCAATTTTCACCCCAGCTTTGCATTCATCAAGCCCCGCACATCTCATGATGTGTTCTGCATACAAGTTAAAAAGGTTGGGTGAGAGTATGCAGCCTTGCCGTACGCCTTTCCCAATCTTGAACCAGTCTGTTGTTCCGTGGTCAGTTCTGACTGTTGCTACTTGGTCCTTGTACAGATTCCTCAGGAGAGAGACAAGGTGGCTTGGGATGCCCATCCCTCCAAGAACTTGCCACAATTTATTATGATCCACACAGTCAAAGGCTTATAATATGATGCTACAATAAATTGTTCATTTGGCAGAGAAGCAAGCCATTGTTTCTAGGACTGCGTTCCCGGATTCCGGTCCTGGTTTTGGCGAGGGCCGACCCACCGCAGAGCTCGTTGTGCCGGGGCTGCGGCTGACAACTAGAGGACTCTCTTGCTTCATTCATTGGGCATTAATTCACGTTGCTAATGCCGCTGTGCGCCTCCACCAACCCCAGATTAAAAAAAAATATCAGAAAGAAAGGAAGGAATAGGCTCTTGACAGGCTGCAGAGATGCGTTTCAGGCCCCTTCCCTCTCCTCTCCTCCTCCTTTTCTTCCTTTCTTTGATTTCTTTCAAAGGCATCCAAGCCTTGCACGGAGGCACAACAAGGGGGCGGCAGAAAGCCCATTTACGGCCACAATGGCAACGGGGCTCCCGGCGTCTCCTTGCCCTCTCCTTCTTCCGTTTGGCCTCCATTAATTGGAAGCGGAGGAGGGCCTCCCGGGTCCGGATTTTCAGCCCCCCAAACCACAAGAGGTTCTCGCTTTGTGCTATTTGTGTCCCCGCCTCCATGTTCAAGAGGCAGGGCCGGGGAAATAAATAGACGGCGCAGAATAGAAGAAAGGGCCTCTTTTCGGGGGAACGTAAACAAATGAAAAACGGAACGAATTTTCCACGCAAAAAACTTGAGTTGCCGAAACAGGCTCTTTTTTGGACATAGCCTAGTGGGAAACCATACATTAATTCCTACAGATGATCTGATGTTTGCAGGCTATAATTTTCCAAGGTGAAAATACGATTTCCGAGGCAAAAAAATAAAACCTATAAATCTTCAAGCAAAACGCAAAACCTATGCAATTTGTATTTGTTCTGTGATCCGCCCTGCGTTCCCTTTGGGGTGAGAAGGGTACACTATAAATGCTGTAAATAAATAAATAAACCTATACAATTTTCAAGCAAGACATAGAACCTATACAATTTCCAATGGAAAAAGTAAAAACTATACAATTTTCAAGCAAAACCTAAAACCTATGCAATTTGTATATGTTCTGCAATCCGCCCTGAGTCCCCTTCGGGGTGAGAAGGGCCGAATATAAATGCTGTAAATAAATAAATAAACCTATTGGGGTGAGAAGGGCTGAATATAAAAGCTGTAAATAAATAAATAAAGGTAAAGGTAGTCCCCTGACATTAAGTCCAGTCATGTCTGACTCTGGGGTGTGGTGCTCATCTCCATTTCTAAGCCGAAGAGCCAGCATTGTCCGTAGACACCTCCAAGGTCATGTGGCCGGCATGACTGAATGGAGCGCCGTTACCTTCCCGCCGGAGCGGTACCTATTGATCTACTCACATTTGCATGTTTTCGAACTGCTAGGTTGGCAGAAGCTAGGGCTGACAGCGGAAGCTCACGTTGCTCCCCGGAATCGAACCTGCAACCTTTCGATCAGCAAGCTCAGCAGCTCAGTGCTTTTACCCACTGTGCCACCGGGGGCTCCAAAATAAATAAATAGACCTATACAATTTTCAAGCAAGACATAGAACCTATACAATTTCCAATGGAAAAAGTAAAACCTATACAATTTTCAAGCAAAACTTAAAACCTATGCAATTTGTATTTGCTCTGTGATCCGCCCTGAGTCCCCTTCGGGGTGAGAAGGGTGGAATATAAATACTGTAAATAAATAAATAAACCTATTCAATTTTCAAGAAAGACGTAGAACCTATACAATTCCAATGGAAAAATGTAAAATCTATACAATTTTCAAGCAAAACCTAAAACCTAAGCGATTTGTATTACCAAACCATGGATGGTTGAATCCATGGATGGAGAATCTGTGGATACAGAGGGCTGTATGTACAGTAGAGTCTCGCTTAACATAAATGGGCCAGCAGAATGTTGGATAAGCAAAAATGTTGGATAATAAGGGGGATTAAGGAAAAGTCTATTAAATATCAAATTACATTATAATTTTACAAATTAAGTACCAAAACATGTTTTTACAACAAATTGACAGAAAAAGTTCAATACATGATAACGTTCTGTAGTAATTACTGTATTTACAAATTTAGCACCAAAACATCGCAATGTATTGAAACAGTTGTGGATCCGGGCGGGAGGCAGACTGTGCTGGATAATACAGAACGTTGGATGAGTGAAGGTTGGATAAGAAAGACTCTACTACTGTATACATTTTTGGGAAGGAAATCTCCCAATTTCCTCCAGAATTGGTATGATGGAAAGCAAACAGGTCCAGCACAGAGAGAGGAGGGGAAATGGTTAAGGAAGGACCACTGTTTTCTATCCTTAATGTACACTAGCTGTCCCTTGGCACGCGTTGCTGTGGCCCAGTCTGTGTATATGTGTTTTGTGGTGTATATATCTGTGTATATAATTGTGTATATATGTGTGTTTGTGTATATATGTGTGGTTTTGCGCATGCGTTGTAATGTATTTTGGCTTTTTAAGTCCCTTCTACCATGTTTTTAGTGTTTTTATGAGTGATGGTCACTTGTTGGCTTGATAGGTGTATTGTTTCCCAATTTTGTGTCAATTCGTCCAGTGGTTTTTGAGTTACGTTAATCCCACAAACGAACATTACATTTTTATTTATATAGACTAGACGTTCCCTGCCAAGCTTTGCTGTGGCCCAGTCTGAGTATATGTCTTTTGTGTGTGTATATATTTGTGTATATCTGTATATATGTGTGTTTGCGTGTATATATGTAGTTTTGCTCATGTGTTGTAATGTTGGTTTTGTTTTTTGGCTTTTTAAGTCCCTTCTGCTGTGTTTTTCAGTGTTTTTATGAATGATGGTCACTTGTTGGACTGCTAGGTATATTGTGTCCAAATTTTGTGTCAATTCATCCAGTGGTTTTTGAGTTCTGTTAATCCCACAAATGAACATTACATTTTTATTTAAGTAGATTAGCCATCCCCTGCCATGCGTTGCTGTGACCCAGTCTGTGTATATGTCTTTTGTGTGTGCATATGTGTATATATGTGTGTCTGCATATATATATGTGGTTTTGCACATGTGTTGTAATGTTGTTTTTGTTGTTTTGGCTTTTCATGTCCCTTCTGCTGTGCTTTTCAGTGTTTTTATGAGTGATAGTCACTTGTTTGCCTGATAGGTGTGTTGTGTCCAAATTTGGTGTCAATTCGTCCAGTGGTTTTTGCATTATGTTAATCCCACAAACGAAAATTACATATAGACTAGCCGTCCCCTGCCATGTGTTTCTGTGGCCCAGTCTGTGTATATGTTTTGTGTATGTATATATTTGTGTATATGTGTATATATGTGTGTTTGCATATATATGTGTGCTTTTGTGCATGTGTTGTAATGTTTTTATTTTTTATGCTTTTTATGCCCCTTCCGCTGTGCTTTTTAGTGTTTTTATGAGTGATAGTCACTTGTTTGTCTGATAGGTGTATTGTGTCCAAATTTGGTGTCAATTCATCCAGTGGTTTTTGAGTTCTGTTAATCCCACAAATGAACATTACATTTTTATTTATACAGATGTAGTGGAAAGTCTTTAAAAGTGTTTACATGGCTCCAGAATTTCAAATGGGTGCTGCATGGCGAAGGGACAAGGCCAGGCTATTAAAAGCCGGACTGGCTGGAGAGCATCATCCCTTTTTCTGGCTGGACTGACGGAGGATCTCCCTCTCGGCTTGGTTCAGGAATGCCTCTCCATCCTCCTCCAGGTCTCTCCATCTGGACATCCTTTCCCTCTCCCCTCCCTTGCGGTCTGCTTTCAATTGCCAATAACCAGGTGCAACCTTGGCTTGGAAACCGGGAGAAGGCGGGCAGGAAGCAACCCGCCAGGATGATTAAATTATACGGGGGCCTGGTCAGCGCAAGACAAAGGCCTTTGCTCCAGCAAAAGGTCTCCTGTTTCCTTGCAATGGATGAGAGAGAAACAAGGAAACAAAACCTCAGAGTCAGAAGGGACCCCAACAGACCATCCAGTCCAATCCTTTTTTGCCAGGCAGGACGACACAATCAAAACCCTCCCTACTCACTCTCCTCAGGACAACACTAGATTTGGCCCCGACTCTAAAGGTTTCAGCCTACTCACTCTCCTCAGGACCACACTCACTCTCCTCAGGACGAGACTAGTTTTGGCCCACTAACTCTGACAGGCTTCAGCCTACTCACTCTCCTCAGGACCACACTCACTCTCCTCAGGACGAGACTAGTTTTGGCCCACTGACTCTGACAGGCTTCGGCCTACTCACTCTCCTCAGGATCACACTCACTCTCCTCAGGACGAGACTAGTTTTGGCCCACTAACTCTGACAGGCTTCAGCCTACTCACTCTCCTCAGGACCACACTCACTCTCCTCAGGACGAGACTAGTTTTGGCCCACTAACTCTGACAGGCTTCAGCCTACTCACTCTCCTCAGGACCACACTCACTCTCCTCAGGACGAGACTAGTTTTGGCCCACTAACTCTGACAGGCTTCAGCCTACTCACTCTCCTCAGGACCACACTCACTCTCCTCAGGACGAGACTAGTTTTGGCCCACTGACTCTGACAGGCTTCGGCCTACTCACTCTCCTCAGGACCACACTCACTCTCCTCAGGACGACACTAGCTATGGCCCACTGACTCTGACAGGCTTCAGCCTACTCACTCTCCTCAGGACGACACTCACTCCCCTCAGGATGACACTAGCTTTGGCCCACTGACTCTAACAGGCTAATAGTCTCACACTGGGCCAAAGGTAGTGTTGTCCTTAGGAGAGTGAGTAAGCTAAACCCTGTCAGAGTCAGTGGGCCAAACCTAGCGTTGTCCTGAGGAGAGTAAGTAGGCCAAAGCCTATCAGAGTCAGTGGGCCAAAGCTAGTGTGGTCCTGAGGAGAGTGAGTAGGCCGAAGCCTGTCAGACTCAGTGGGCCAAAGCTTGCGTCGTGCTGAGGAGAGTGAGTAGGCTGAAGACTGTTAGAGTTGTCAGTGGGCCAAAGCTATTGTGGTCCTAAGGAGAGTGAGTAGGCCGAAGCCTGCCAGAGTCAGTGGGCCAAAGCTAGTGTCGTGCTGAGGACAGTGAATAGGCCGAAGCCTGTCAGAGTCAGTGGGCCAAAGCTAGTGTCGTCCTGAGGAGAGTGAGTAGGCCGAAGACTGTCAGTCAGTGGGCCAAAGCTATTGTGGTCCTGAGGAGAGTGAGTAGGCCGAAGCCTGCCAGAGTCAGTGAGGCAAAGCTAGTGTCGTCCTGAGGAGAGTGAGTAGGCCGAAACCTGTTAGAGTTGTCAGTGGGCCAAAGCTAGTGTCATCCTGAGGAGAGTGAGTAGGCCGAAACCTGTTAGAGTTGTCAGTAGGCCAAAGCTAGTGTCATCCTGAGGAGAGTGAGTAGGCCGAAGCCTGTCAGAGTCAGTAGGCCAAAGCTAGTGTGGTCCTGAGTGAGTAGGCCGAAGCCTATCAGAGTCAGTGAGCCAAAGCTAGTCTCGTCCTGAGGAGAGTGAGTAGGCCGAAGACTGTCAGTCAGTGGGCCAAAGCTAGTGTCATCCCGAGGAGAGTGAGTAGGCTGAAGCCTGTCAGAGTCAGTGGGCCAAAGCTAGTGTCGTCCTGAGGAGAGTGAGTAGGCCGAAGCCTGTTAAGAGTCAGTGGGCCAAAGCTAGTGTTGTCCTGAGGAGAGTGAGTAGGCCGAAGACTGTCAGAGTCAGTGGTCCAAAGCTAGTGTCGTCCTGTGTTTTGTTCCGTCCTCCATGTAACTCCCTTCCAAATAGTTAAAAGTGAAACACGGCTCTCCTCTATATGCTTTCACAGGACCACAGCCCATCCAACCATTTCCCTTTGTTCTTACTTGCTTGCACACTCACCTTATGTCTGGGGCAGTTGAGTGAGAAGGTCTCTTCGGTTAACAAACAACCTAGAGGAAGAACAGAGAAGCAACCATGAATATCATCATCATCATCATCATCATCATCACCACCACCTGCACCACCACCATCATTACCATCGTCCCAAATTCTGGATCAAGACCCAAAGCAGTGTTGATTTATCTCCACCTTCCTGGCTGTTGCAACACCCATATCTCCTTTCTGATTTTCTCATTCATCCCAGCTTCTTCTAAGGGTACATCTACACTCTGGAATTAATGCAGTTTGACATCACTTTAATTATGGATCAACACTAGGATACTGGGAGTTGTAGTTTTGCAGTCTTGAGCCTTCTCTGCTCAAGAGTGCAAACAATTGCTCCTGGATTCCACAGCATTGAGCCATAGCAATTATAGTGTTGCCAAACTGCATTCATTCTACAGTGCAGATGCACCCTCTGTTCAATGTACATTTCACAGAATCACAGAGTTGGAAAAGACTGCATGGGCAATCTAGTCCACCCCCTTCTGCCAGGCAGGAAAAGCACAAAGCAGTTACGACAGATGGCCACCCAGCCTCTGTTTAAAAGCCTCCAGAGAGTTCTACTGTTGAACAGCTTTTCTTACAGTGAAGAAGAAGAGGAAGAAGAAGAAGAGGAGGAAGAGGAGGTGGTGGTGGAGGTGGTGGTGGTGGAGGAGGTGGTGGTGGTGGTGGTGGTGGTGGAGGTGGTGGAGGTGGTGTGGGTGGTGGAGGTGGTGGTGGTGGTGGTGGAGGAGGAGGTGGTGGAGGTGGTGGTGGTGGTGGAGGTGGTAGTGGTGGAGGTGGTGGTGGACGTGGTGGTGGTGGAGGAGGAGGTGGAGGAGGAGGAGGAGGTGGAGGTGGAGGTGGAGGAGGAGATGGAGGAGGAGGAGGAGATGGAGGCGGTTCTCATGAAACTTTTCCTTGATTTAAGTCTACTGGGAGGAGGCTGAGAGCCATGCAGTGGGGTGGCTTTCACAGTGTTCAACCTTATTTCTCTCACAATTGGCAGCAACTTCCTGTCGCACATCGGGGGGGGGGGGGGCAATGCTAGCTAGCTTCTAGAGTCTATCAACAGGTGCAGATTTAAGACATCCTGTGATGATTCTACATGTCTCATTCAGCGCTATATTCACCTGCTTTGTGTGGGTGAAGTAGAAATAGTCAAGTAAAACATATTGTCGAAGGCTTTCTTGGCCAGAATCACTGGGTTGTTGTAGGTTTTTTCGGGCTATATGGCCATGTTCTAGAGGCATTCTCTCCTGACGTTTCGCCTGCATCTATGGCAAGCATCCTCAGAGGTAGTGAGGTCTGTTGGAACTAGGAAAAAGGGTTTATATATCTGTGGAATGACCAGGGTGAGACAAAGGACTCTTGTCTGCTGGAGCTAGGTGTGAATGTTTCAACTGACCACCTTGATTAGCATATAATGGCCTGACAGTGCCTAGAGCAAACTTCTGTTGAGAGGTGATTAGATGTCCTTGTTTGTTTCCTCTCTGTTGTTGTGCAAGGGCATCTAATCACCTCTCAACAAAAGTTTGCTCTAGGCTCTGTCAGGCCATTATATGCTAATCAAGGTGGTCAGTTGAAACATTCACACCTAGCTCTAGCAGACAAGAGTCCTTTGTCTCACCCTGGTCATTCCACAGATATATAAACCCTTTTTCCTAGTTCCAACAGACCTCACTACCTCTGAGGATGCTTGCCATAGATGCAGGCGAAACGTCAGGAGAGAATGCTCCATGGCCATATAGCCCGAAAAAACCTACAACAACCCAGTCAAGTAAAAAGCTTTTCTCCCTGCCAGAAGGTCTTACCTGTATCAATGGCACATGTGTAGTGAAAGGTTTGGGCGCACCCTTTGTGACAACAGCCGACAGTGGCTCCGATTTGCTGACAACTGGAACATCTCTGCGGTGACCGAGAAAGAAAGAAAAGAAATCTCCATGAGATATATCAACAGCGTTGTTTCGTTTTTGCACAGGTAGCTTGGGTCAGGAACCGGGACTGGAATCACAATTCGGACTCGGTTGACTTTGTTGCTTAGAATTATGGAGCTGGAGGGCACCCCGAAGAACATCTAGTCTAATTCCCTTCTGCAGTGCAGGGATACATAGAAGTATAGAATCATAGAACCAAAAAGTTGGAAGAGACCTCGTGGGCCATCCAATCCAACTCCATTCTGCCAAGAAGCAGGGAAATCACATTCAAAGTACCCCCAACAGATGGCCTTCCAGCTCCCAAAGAAGGAGCCTCCACCACACTCCGGGGCAGAGAGTTCCACTGCTGAACGGCTCTCACAGTCAGGAAGTTCTTCCTCATGTTCAGATGGAATCTCCTCTCTTGTAGTTTGAAGCTATTGTTCCGCGTCCTAGTCTAATTTGACAGTTCAAGAAATCCTAACAACTGCAATCCAAGTTCTGCTTGTAGATCCCCAAAGATGGAGAGTCCACCACTTCCCAAAGTCATCTATTCTACTCTTGGATGACGCTTATGTTCAAGAAGTTCTACCTGACGTTTAGGTGAAATCTCTTTACTTCTCCTTTGGATTCTAACTCTGGAGCAAGCTCTCCCCTCCTCTTGATGACATCCTTTCAAATAGTTAAGGATGGCGACTATGGCATCTTATCTTCTCCAAGCAAACACCCCCTGCTCCCTCACCTGTGTTCTTCATAAGACCTTTGAGCATCTTGGTTGCCCTTCTTCTGGGTTGGATGTTTTTATTTACATGCTTTTATGTTTTTCATAAAAGGAGCCCCTGGTGGTGCAGTGGGTTAAACAACTAAGCTGCTGACCTTGCTGACCGAAAGGTCAGCGGTTCAAATCCGGGGATCGGGGTGAGCTCCTGTAGTTCGCCCCAGCTTCTGCCAACCTAGCAGTTTGAAAACATTGTGAGTAGATCAATAGGTACTGCTTCAGCAGGAAAGTAACAGCATTCCATGCAGTCATGCTGGCCACAAAACCTTTGAGGTGTCTATGGACAACGCCAGCTTTTCTGTTTAGAAATAGAGGTTAGCACCCACCCCCCAGAGTTGGAAATGGCTAGATTTAATGTCAAGGAGAAACCTTGACACTGTTCCAGACAGGGCCACCTCCCAACAAAGGATTCCCCAGGCAGGAAGCAGCTAGGCTTTGAAGCTATAAGGTTATTCAATACTTATCAAGCTGGCCAATTTTATAATATTTACCTGAATTGATAGGTCAGAGAGATTATTCTCATTTGCTCTATTCCCAGAACATGCACAACATACAGAGGCAGGAATGAATGAATGTCTATCGATCTATCATCTATCTATCTATCTATCTATCTATCTATCTATCTATCTATCTATCTAGAGAAAACAAGCCATGGGTCCAGGTTCACTTCTCATAACAAGCCAAAATATAAAATCCGTAAGTCATTTAAAAAGTGTGAGTTTGGATTGTACTTTTGGAAGGTTAAAGAAACATATCTTGTCAAGTGAAAGCGGGTTGGTACATCACGGGGTTCTGCTAAACAATCACGGCTTGTGTTGGTGAAGGTTTCACTGGGTTGCTGTGAGTTTTCCGGGCTATATGGCCATATTCCAGAAGCATTCTCTCCTGACGTTTTGCCCACATCTATGACAGGCATTCTCAGAGGTTGTGAGGTCTGTTGGAAACTAGGCAAGTGAGGTTTAATTTCTGTGGAATAAGGTCTATTCAGGGTGGGAGAAAGAACTCCTCTTGTCTGCTTGAGACAAGTGTGAATGTTGCAACTGGCCTGCTTGATTAGCATTGAATAGCCTTGTAGCTTCAAAGGCTGGCTGTCACTTCCCGGGGGCATCCTTTGATTTGTAGGTGTTAGCTGGCTCTCATTATTTCCTGTCTAGAATTCCCTTTTTTTGAGTGTTGCTCTTTATTTACTGTCCTGGTTTTAGAGTTTTTAAATACTGGTAGACAGATTTTGTTCGTTTTCATGGTTTCCTCCTTTCTGTTGAAACTGTTCAGATGCTTTTAGATTTCAATGGCTTCTCTGTGTAGTCCGACATGTTGGTTGTTAGAGTGGTCCAGCATTTCTGTGTTGTCAAATAGTATTCTGGGTCCAGGTTGGTTTATCCTCCCAAACAAAGAATGAACATAATCTGGCTCCCAGTATTAAACTCCAAAATCAGGACAGTAAATAAAGAGCAACACTAAAAAAAAAAACCCAGAAGAAATCCAGACATGAAACAATCAGGGCCAGCTAACACCTCCCAACAAGGATTCCCCAGGTAGGAAGCAGCTAAGCTCTGAAGCTACAAGGCTATTCAATGCTAATCAAGTTGGCCAATTGTAACATTCACTCTGGAACTCATTACCTGGAGAGATTAGGAAAGCCCCTACCCTGGAAACCTTTAAAAAGAACCTTAATACCTGGCTCTTCCACTGCGCCTTTGGTGAGTAGGTATACAACCTCACACTATTGCTTAGCCTCAATGTTTTGTCATTGGAGTATACGTCCCCCCTCCCCTTGTGGGAAAGTTTGATCCCACAATCCCTGTTTTAAGGAACCCTCCTCCGCAAATAACCTGCTTCTCCTTTATCTCACCTGAGTTTTTAATCAGTTTTTAATGAGTTTTTCTTTTAATCATAACATGTAACCTGACCATGGTCAGGTTACATGTAACCTCACCATTATATAATTGGTGGTTGCCCTGACACAACCAAAAAAAAAAACCTAACCATTGTCACTGTGATTGTGTTTATTGTAATTTTATATTGTTATGCATTCATATGTTTTATGTAATCATGATGTTGCTGATTGTTTCCGTTTTCGGTTTTATTTTGAAGTAATTTGTTGTTTGAGCTTGGCCTCATGTAAGCCACCCTGAGTCCCCATTGGGGAGATGGTGGCGGGGTATAAATAAAGATTATTATTATTATTATTATTATTACTACTACTACTACCTCAAACAGACAAGAGTTCTTTCTCCCACCCTGAACATCATTCCACAGATACTATAAACCTCACTTGCTTAGTTTCCAATAGACTTCTCAACCTCTGAGGATGCCTGCCATAGATGTGGGTGAAGTGTCAGGAGAGAATGCTTCTGGAACCTGACTATACAGCCCGGAAAACTCACAGAAACCCAGTTATGGTTTGTCACGACATGAATATGAATGCTATCTGCCATTGCGGTTTCATAGTTAGGGAATTCAAGCACCACTTTGTAGCTGAACAATTCTTTGCAAAACCCCAAAGAAAGGTTCACAACTTACAGAAATTAATTTAGTTTCCTTAATAATTTGGGTAGGATGAGTATGTAAGAATGACATGAGCATCCGCAGCAGTATCCTATCCTCATGACAACAACACACAAGCTATCAACTTGTTTTGACTTTTGGAACCCTAAGGCATACTTATCATGGGGTTTTCTTGGCATGGTTGCTCTCTGAGGCCGAGAGTGTGTGACCCCGGGGAACATAAGCCAGAAGACCCATCATCCACAGTAAGGATACTGCTGTGGATGCGGCAGTCAGACTACTAATGGGAGCGGGGTACAGGGAGCATACTACCCCTCTGTTGCGCCAGTTCCACTGGCTGCCAGTCGGCTTCTGAGCACAATTCAAAGTGCTGGTCTTAACCTATAAAGCCCAATTTACCTGTCCGAATGTATCCTCCCCTATGAACCATCAAGATTGCTAAGATCGTCTGGAGGGGCCCTGCTCTCGATCCCACCGGCCTCACAGGCGCGGCTGGTGGGGACGAGAGACAGGGCCTTCTCGGTGGTGGCCCCTCGACTCTGGAACTCCCTTCCACTGGAGATCAGAACTGCCCCTTCGATCTTAACGTTCAGGAAACAGGTGAAAACCTGGCTTTGGGGATTGGCATTCGACGAATGAGCCATGATCCTGTGATATGGATGGATGACGACGAATAATGATTTTTGATGACGACTGACCACTGTAATTATATGATTGTATTTTGCTATTTTAATGTTTTAGTGTGATTTAGAATATGATGTTTTAATGACTGTCTGTAATATTGATATTGGAAACCGGCCTGAGTCCCTCGAACGGAGGTGAGAAGACTGGTATACAAAACTGCTAAATAAATAAAATAAATAAATAAAGATCCCAGATCATGGATATCGCAAACCTTGAGATTTCAGAGCAAAAATCTGAAATCTTGGGATCCCCCAAGTGCCACCATGGCATTGTGGTTTGAGTGTTGGATTGGGACTGAAGAGCTGGGTTCAAATCCCCACTCAGCTATAAAACCCATTATGGGTCCTTGGATGGGTCACACACTCTCAGTCCCAGAAAACCCCATGATAGGGTTGTCGTAAGGAACAAATGACTTGATGGCACACAACACTGAAACCTCTGTGCAGATCCGAGAGGACAAGGGAATTATTTGGCTACTACTCTTCTAGTCCTGACCTCATCTTCACCAACCACTGAATGGCACTGCAATGGCTGTATGGCAGTGGTTTTCAATATGTGGGTCTCCAGATGTTTTGGCCTTCAACTCCTAGAAATCCTAACAGCTGGTAAACTGGCTGGGATTTCTGGGAGTTGTAGGCCAAAACACCTAGGGATCCACAGGTTGAGAAACACTGCTGTGTGGTAAGCTAAGGGGAAGCTTTGCTTGTTGCAGAGGCATATAGTGAATATATACGAGGGTTGAATGAAAAGTAATGCCTCCGTCTTCGTAACTCCTCAACAGATGGCAGTACTGGTATGTGGCAGGTACTGTCTTGTTCAGTAGACTCTCCTCTACAATTCTATTTTAGTGGGAAGCCTTAGCATTGAGCAGTTGTGTTGTTAAAGTGCAAAGTATGGAACCCTGCACAGACAGTCAATGTGACTTAAGCAATGTACAATCACTGAATTCTTGACAGCAGAAGGTGTCACCCTAAAGGAGATTTATCAGAGAACGCAAACTGTTTATGGTGATTGTGTTGATGTGAGTTGATGCGTCGTTGGGTGAGTAAGTTTAAAGATGTTGAGGGGACACCTTCTGCTGTCAAGAATTCAATGACTGGGCAGCAAGAATGTGCTACGCAAAAAGATGGAAACAGGAAGAAATACTAGAGGAGGATGAATGGCTGACAAAGATATTAGAAATTAGAAACATGGATAGACTCACATACCTCATGTCAAAGAATAAAGAAATGAAAATAATAGAAACAGATTGGAAACAAGTCACTGATTATCTAAGACGAAAGAAGAAGGTGATCTTGACCTAAACCTGACAAAAATGAATGGAACGCAAAAGGAAAGGGAAAAGAAAAATAAAAAGAAGAAAAACAGAGAAGGAGAGTGTGAAGAAGACCTATAGAAGATACCAGGGAGCAAAAATCATTCACTTTTCATTTTTTCACCTTTTTTTCTCTTTTTCTCTTCTTTTTTCTCTTTCTTTCTTTTATGTCTTTCATGTTTTTTATACAGTCTTATATAATGGAAATTTTCAATAAAGATTATTTTAAAAAAAAGAATTCAATGACTGCACGTTGCTTAAGTCGTATTGACCGACGGTCTGCGTAGGGTTCCATACTTTGCACTTTAACAACACAACCGTTCAATACTAAGGCTTCCCACCAAAATGGAACTGTATGGAAGAGTCTACTGAACAAGCCAGTACCTGTCGCCTAACCAGTACTGCCATCTCTTGAGGAGTTACGAAGATGGAGGCATTACTTTTTATTCAACCCTCGTACCTGCGTATGACTCTAAGAGGAAGCTGATCCATCTGTAGGTGCATCTACAATGTAGGATGAATGCAGTTTGACACCACTTGGCTCAATGCTATGGATTTTGTAGTTTCACAAAATCTGTGGGCCCCTTTTGCCAAAGGGTGTAAACAACAACTTCCAGGGTTCCATAACATTGAGCCATAGCTGCTAAAGGAATGTCAAAACGACATTCATTCTACAGTGTAGATCAGCCATGGTCAAACTTTGGCCCTCCAGGTGTTTTGGACTTCAACTCCCACAATTCCTAACAGCCTACCGGCTGTTAGGAATTGTGGGAGTTGAAGTCCAAAACACCTGGAGGGCCAAAGTTTGACCATGGCTGATGTAGATGCACCCCTGTCCTTGATCACCACATGCTTCCTCTCGCCATGTAGAAGCAGACAGACCTTTGGAGTCTTGGTTTGGCTTTCCCATCATCCCCACTTATTGCATCTCCCCATTCATCTCCCTCCACAACCCCAAATGTGGCCTGTGCCTCTTCTTCCTCCCTTGAGGACAGACCTTGATCGAACGCTATGTTACTCTGTGGCTTCTGCCTCTCCAAACGAGAGATACCACCAAGGGAGAGGGTCTTACCAAATTGGTAGCCATCTTTATAGCCTCCTGAAGTCCATAGAGCTTCCCCGCCACCAGGTAAACACCCGTTGTCCATATAGCGCAGGCCTCATGAACCCAGTGCTCCTGCGTGTCACTGGCGGGGTCCGGAAGGGGCAACTCTGCTTTGCTGCATTCGTGCCGCCGGGGTTTTTCGGTGGCGGTGGCTGCTGCTGTTTCCTCTCCCTCTGTCCTCTCATCGCAGCAGTAGCAGCTTTGTAGTTTCCTAAACATCCCCCTCGAACTCGAGCGGAGCGTGCTCTGTTTGGCCGACTCAGCCCCAGTGTCCAACCTTGGTGACTTCCCGCCCGACGAGGACAACGAGCAGTTATTATCCGCTGGCGCTTTGAGGTGGGACAGGGAGGGCGGCTCTTCGCTCAGCCCCTCCACCTTGATCTTCTCTTTCAGCCTCGACTTCTTTTTCGGCAAGCAGTCCTCAGGGTAATACGGCCCGCAGAGGTCCCCTTGGTCTTTGTAGTTGGCCGGGTTCCGGCACAGGCAGCAGACCAAGCAGGTGGCATTGAGAGTCTTGGAGACCACCGGGCCGAGGTGCATTGTGGATGACAGGGGAAGGGTGGCCCTGGGCTGTAAGGAGGTGGCCGCCTGGGCGGACAATGCCAAAAAAGAAGAAGTGTGCTGTTCGTTGTGGAGTCTGCTCTCATCGGCGGAGAAGTTGACTACGGTACAAGCGGTGACAAACTCGCCCTGTTTCTCCACCCGGACATAAGGGGAGAACGGTGGGGCCCGGCTGTCCGTCCGCAGCCGCTTGCATGATACGTACTTGAGCCGGATTTCGGGCTCGGCAGGACTCAGCAGAGGTGCCTGCTGCTGGTGCCGCCGTTTGGCCCGGCTCTTGCACCTCGAAGGCACGTTTGGAGCCTTCTGACGATTGAGATGCTTCCTTTGCCGCTTGGTGTAGCCGTTGTAGCTGGAGTGGTTGGCTCGCTGCTTCTGCCCTCTGGTTTGGGCCTGCGAGGATCTCCCTTCGGAAGCCTCGCCACCGTTTCCAAAGGCTTTGTCTTCGGCCTTCTGCTTCTTCCCTTCCCTTTGTTCCTCTTCCACTTTCCCTCCTCCTCCTGCCGTTGCATTTGCAACCCCTGGCCTCTCCCTGGATGGGAGAAGCAAGGCAGGGCCCAGGTGAGAGCTATTTTTAGCTGCTCGGAAGACGGCCGCTTTCCCTTTTCGGTTCCTTTTCTTGGGCAGGAGGCCCACGCCGGTGCTTGCGGCCATGCTGACAACAACGCCAACGCCAACACCGCCGCCGTGCTGCAAGATCTCAGGAGACGGATAGGCTTCACCCTTGAAACAGTTGGAGGACAGTTTCTTACTGTTCATTAGTTTCCCTCTGAAGGATCTGTTGTTCGGGTTTCTGCATAATTGCTCGGCGGCTGGAGCAGCAGGAGCCTTTTGTGGCACGGCCTGGTTTAATGGCCTCGCTTCCCCCGCCACCGCTGGGGTTACGCCGCTGGCATTCTTTGAGGCCTGCTCCCTCTCCGGCAGCGGGGAAGGGCTGAGCGGATTACCGTGGGAGGCGGCGGTGATGGCAGCCGCCGCTGCCGCCGCTGTTCTGCAGGCAAACTTTTTCAGATTGGGGGAGGTGATCTTCTGCACGATGGCTTCCAGCTTCAAGCCCCGGCCTTTCCTGGGAGGAAGCACTTTGGTCTTCATGGCTCCCTGGAAGGCGGCTCTGGAGCTGATCTTGAGGCAGACGGCGGCGTTCTCCTTGGCCGGGAGGGACTTGAGCGCACCTTCGCAGGAGTTCTTGGGAGACAGCTTCATTTTGGCCTTTTTGGCTGATGGCATCCTCTTGAACAGGATGGGTGCCGCTTCTGGCTTCTCCTCCTTTACAGTGCCGCGGTTGCTCCTCAGAACCAGATTCCGTTTTTTGGCCGGAACCGGAGGGAGGAAGGTGGACTTCCTTTTCAGGGAGACCTTGCTTCCCATGTCAAGCCGGGGTTTGGAGAGCTTCACCTTCTTGCCCAGCTTGCTTTCCCTCTCAGACCTAATTTGGGGGTTCATCTTGAAGGAACCAAGCAAATGGTGGTTTGGGAAAACTTTCTTGGACGGTTTAGAATTTTTGAGTTCAGGATCCACGGTGCCCTTCTCTTTCTTCTTCTTCCCGTCAAAGACCTCCTGGGACCGGGTTCTGGAGCGAAGAATCATGGACTGTTGATCCTTTCCTTCTGCTTCCGAAGGGCTGGCTTCTTTGAGCTTATGACCAGCAGGGTCTTCGTTCTGTACAAAATTCGGGACCAAGGGAGGAGACAGATTACTGGGCTTGCCATTTGGCTTTCTTGCTTTGAAAGTGGCTCTCTGTTTGATGACATAGGGTGGCTTCTTGCCCAGCTTCTCTTGAAGGGTGGAAGCTTTTGCACCTTCAAGTGGGTCAGGCAACTTAGGGTCGGTCAGCGCAGTAAAGGAGCGGGTACACATCCTAGCTGGGAAGCCTTCTGCTGGAGACCGGGGTGTTGGACCATGAGTAGTCTTACTTGGCATTTCAATGAGATTATTTGGACCAGAGCATGCGTTGGCCACCATGTCAGCTGCTTGGATGCCCGTACAAGGGCTTGATATCGGTTGGATAGGTTCTTCTCCTCCCGAGAGCCTGGAGTAGACCTTTTTACTGCGAAGGCTCTTGCCTCTAGATGTTGGTTCGGATATGATCGGTGTTTTTTCTGGGGAGACCTGCTTTTTCTCCGGCAAGGCAACTGGTGCGTCTGCCTTGTTGGGAAGGGCATTGTTAACTCCCAGTGTTTCTTCCTCAGGCTTTAAGTGATGGAGAGAAGATTCAAACCAATTCTTCACTTTTGTCTCTGTTCCCACAGTTGGTCCCAAGAGGATAACGGATTGGTCAGAGAGATGTGAAGAAGGAACAGCGTTTTCTTTTTCGACAGCGTTTGCCATCTCCTCTGCTGAACCCGGTGTGTCTTGGAGGGAAAGAGTTGGAGCGTTCTCTGCCTGCTTAGGTGTGAACGCATCGTAGGTCAAAGTCTTTTGCTCAGAACTGGCGAGTTCACATAAAGAGGAATATTCTTCTGGTTCCAAATCAGATTCTTTAAGGTCTGGAGAGGACATCATTGGGAGTTCGCTGAAGTCTCCACCAGAACATGACTGCCTGGTGGTGTCTTCTAGCCATCGCTCACTGTCTGCTCTGGTGGCCTCTTCATATGTTGGGTTCTCTCCCTTGTTTGCCTCTTGTTGCTGTTGCTGTTGTGGTTGTTGCTGTTCTTGTTGTTGAGGGAAGGCTGCCAGTTGCTCAGGTTCAGCTGGATCTTCTGTATCACAAAGGTTCAAGCAGCATACACTTTTTTTCTCCTCAGAATTCTCACTCAATTTGGTGGAGAACAAGGCCTTGGAAAGATCTGATGCTTGAAGGCTCGACCCAAGTTCTTTCCACGTGTCACTGAGGTTTTCGTCTGGCCAATCAAAATTCTCAATGGCATTTTCAGAACTGATCGAATTGGCCGTAGTATTCGAATAGCAGCTGAAATTGGCTGCCTCAGAGCTAGAGGTGGCCACTGGGATGTTGGTTTTGGAGTCATACCCAACTGGACTGGTAGTTTTAAGGGAATTCTTTGACTCTGTGGTTGGAAATGCCACCTGGGGGTTCTCATACACCTCTTCAGTAAAACTCTTCCCATTATTTCCTCCCAAGGCTTTGTCCATCTTCAAGGGTTCGGTGATGGTATTGGATTCCCCCGGATTGGACCATGGGCTTTTGACCATGGAATCCAGGCAGGTCCTGTGGTTCTCCAAGTGGAAGGGGGATTTATTGGGGTCTTTGTTTGGCGCAGGGGAATTGGACCAGCCTTTGTCGGCTTTTTCGTTGATAGCATCTTGCAAGCCAATGATTTCAGAGGCAAGCTCCTCTTGAGAAAGGGCACTGAGGAGAAGTCTGGGACCGTCCCGGTCGTTGGCTACAAACTTGCTGAAGGTCTCCAGTGGGAGGCTGGCGTGGATGCTCTGGAAGGAATCATCAGATTTAGTTGACATGTTGTCTGGCGAAGTAACGGAGCACGTAGAGATGGACTCGGGCTTTGCCTTGGCATTGTTGTTGGCACGGGCCGGGCTGCGGCTTTGATTACAGTACAGGAAACCCCTTTCCAGTTGTTCCTCAGATCCACTCAGGTAATCAGCATCCTGGGTTTCAGTATGGACTGACTGCGGGGTGCTCAGAGGATCAGAGTGGGGAGTCCCCGCTTGCTCAGTTGAGTAATTATTACCTTCGGGGCTGCAGTGCTGACCCTTGAGCTGTTCAGGTGTCCTGGGTGAACTTTTGATCCCTTTCTTTTGGGACATCCCTGTGGATTTGGAAAGTAGAAGCTGCTGGACAGTGTTGGAAATGTTTTCGACTTGTGAGGTGAGTGCCGTAAGGCTCTGAAGACTCAGATCAGACAGCAGGTTCTCAGCCATTTTTTCCTTTGGCATGTTCTTGCAGTTCCCGGGTGTCTGAGTATCTGGACTTGCCCCGTCGGTTGGCGAAGGGTTCAACAAAGGCATGAAAGGGCTGTGGTCGGCAAGGCTAGTCGGAAACGCTCCGGTACTCAAAGACTGTTGGGTGTATTGGAAGTTCTCCAAGTTAGGCATCAAGGGGGAAGGAGTCGAACTGTAGGATGGTGATCGGCCAACTGAACGAGCCGGAGAGTGTCCAGAACCAGGACTGAACGTTTGGTAATACTGGTCCGGTGTCCTCACAGGTGGATCGGCTTGGCAGTAGCCCTGTCCTGGTGGGTTATAATGTTGATATTTTGCTAGGTTTTGATAATGAAGGGCCTCCTGAGGATGATGTCTTCCTTGCATGGATTGTTGCTGCTGCTGTTGTTGCTGCTGCTGCTGTTGTTGCTGCTGTTGCTGCTGTTGTTGGTCATAAGCAATTCGGTTCTGCTGGTAGCCATGTAAGCTCTGAACTCGTTGCCCAGAGGACAGATTTGCTGCATTTGCAAGGCCCCTTTCGTGAGGAGGCGGCGGCGGTGGCGGTGGCGGGGCCGAGGGTGTGCTACAACTTTTGTATGGGTGAACCGCTTGGTTCCCACTTTGCACAGATGTGTACGTAGAGGAGGCCGGAAACGACTGGGAATGCTGGGTGAAGTGCGTCCCTTGTGGAAACGGCATTGGGGAAGCCACATCATTTGGAATCTTCTGCCTCGGGAGCTTGGGGTACGTCATCGCAGGCGGTTGCGGCTGCGGGAGGTGCAAGGAATGAGTCCGGAACGGGAGCTGAGGGGCCGGCTCATGGTATTGCCTACTCCCCGTCTTTTTCATCATGTTTTCCTCGTATTTGGCCACCCCGCCGGGCAATGGCGGTGGTGGTGGTGGAGGTTGCTGCTGAGGTGAACCCCAAGCTTGCAAGCCCTCCTCTCCGGAATAGCGAGCCGGGTAAGGGCTATTCTCTTGGATGGTATAGTTGGGGTAGGATGGTGGCCTACTGGGAAGCGGCGTGCCCCGCAGTGGCTTATTCCCCCGGTGATATTTGTCCACGGCGCTGTTCTCCCCGTATCCTGGGTACGGCAAGGGGGCCTGCTGGGGCTGGCCGTAGTACTCCTTGGCCACCATCCTTTGACGCTCGCAGTGCGGCCCAGCCTGGCTTTGATGCCTGTAATTCTCCAGGCGTGAGGATGAATCCTGCGACGACGAGGACGAGGACGATGAAGACGAAGGAGTCGGTTGGTAGTTCGGCGGGTTGCCATGGAAACCACACCTTTCGCGAAAGGACTGCATGGCTGGTGCTTGTTATCTGTGGAGAGAAAAGAGAGAGGATTCGAATGAATGGATTTATTCTCCCCCACCTTCCTCTTTCTCTCTCTACCTTTTCACCTTGCATTTGGGTTAGCACTGCCTTTTTTTTTTCCAAACAAGAAATACACAGACAAACACCCGAAGTGAAGGCTTTTGCACAAAAAGAAAGAAAGAGGGGAAGCTGCATCGGTTGCGCATCACTTATCCGGGAATCCGAAAGGCTCCTGAATCTGAAATCGTCCATCTGGTTGGCTGAGAGAATGACACTTTTGCTTTTGGATGGTTCAATGTACAAACACATTGGGTTTCATGCACACCATGATTAAAAATATCAGATATAAAATTACTTTCAAACTATTTAAATAGCGGAAATGACTCTACGACCCTCATATCTAGAAAAGACCCAAATGAAATGATTGACTCATAGAATCATAGAGCTGGAAGAGACCTCATGGGCCATCCAGTCCAACCCCATTCTGCCAAGAAGCAGGAATATTGCATTCAAATCACCCCTGACAGATGGCCATCCAGCCTCTGTTTAAAAGCTTCCAAAGAAGGAGCCTCCACCACACTCCGGGGCAGAGAGTTCCACTGATGAACGGCTCTCACAGTCAGGAAGTTCTTCCTCATGTTCAGATGGAATCTCCTTTCTTGTAGTTTGAAGCCATTGTTCCAATGCTGTGGGGTCATGGAAGTTGTAGTTTGGTCAGGTATCTCCTCTCTTGGCCTTGCGAAACTACAACTCTCACAATTCCATAGCATAACAATAATAATCCGTAATGGATAGATGGATGAGACTGTGAGCCCAGTATTCTGCCTATTCGCTGTCTCTTCATTTGTGGAGAACAGTAACAATAAAAGATTCAGGGGGTTCCTTTTGGAGATGCTCCTTTCTCCGATCATAATATCTAATAATATTAATCAGTAATCAATACCAGATAGAAAGATGGCTGGATGGGGTTGTCTGTCTTTTCATCCATGGATAACAGCAGTAACGATAGATGTAGATGATCCTTTAGGAGATGCCTCTTTCTCCATTCCCAGTCAGTAGCAACAACAAAAACAACAACAACAACAGTATTATTGCTAGATAATACTATGGTTGTCTCTCTCTTCATTCACAGATAACATCACCATCAATTGATATGTCTCTTTCTCCAATCATAATATTGAATAATATTAATCAATAATCAATCATAGAATCAAAGAGTTGGAAGAGACCTCATGGTCCATCCAGTCCAACCCCCTGCCAAGAAGCAGGAATATTGCATTCAAATCACCCCTAACAGATGGCCATCCAGCCTCTGTTTAAAAGCCTCCAAAGAAGGAGCCTCCACCACTCCGGGCAGAGAGTTCCACTTCTGAACAGCTCTCACAGTCAGGAAGTTCTTCTAATGTTCAGATGGAATCTCCTTTCTTGTAGTTTGAAGCCATTGTTCCGATCCTAGTCTCCAGGGAAGCAGAAAACAAGCTTTCTCCCTCCTCCCTGTGGCTTCCTCTCACATATTTATACATGGCTATCATATCTCCTCTCAGCCTTCTCTTCTTCAGGCTAAACATGCCCAGCTCCTTAAGCCGTCCTCATAGGGCTTGTTCTCCAGACCCTTGATCATTTTAGTCGCCCTCCTCTGGACACATTCCAGTTTGTCAATATCTCTCTTCAGTTGTGGTGCCCAGAATTGGACACAATATTCCAGGTGTGGTCTAACCAAGGCAGAATAGAGGGGTAGCATGACTTCCCTAGATCTAGACACTATGCTCCTATTGATGCAGGCTAAAATCCCATTGGCTTTTTTTGCCGCCACATCACATTGTTGGCTCATGTTTAACTTGTTGTCCACGAGGACTCCAAGATCTTTTTCACACGTACTGCTCTCGAGCCAGGCATCCCCCATTTTGTATCTTTGCATTTCATTTTTCCTGCCAAAGTGGAGTATCTTGCATTTGTCCCTATTGAACTTCATTTTGTTAGTTTTGGCCCATCTCTCTAATCTGTCAAGATCGTTTTGAATTCTGCTCCTGTCCTCTGGAGTATTGGCTATCCCTCCCAATTTGGTGTCGTCTGCAAACTTGATGATCATGCCTTCTAACCTTCATCTAAGTCATTAATAAAGATTTTGAACAGGACCGGGCCCAGTTGGAAGAGACCTCGTGGGCCATCCAGTCCAACCCCCTTCCAAGAAGCAGGAAGCCTACAGCACCCTGTGTTCCCAGCAGTCTACCCTCCAAGCACTAACCAGGCTCGATCCTGCTTAGCCTCTGAAATCAGACGAGATGGGGTGTGTTCAGGGTGGTATGGCTGTAGACAAGATTCCTGCTAAAGGTTATTATTGACTCATCTTGGAGGACTTAGAAAAATCCTAATGATCCTCTCTACGAATTTTCTGGGTCCTCCAGAACTTTTTGAAGCATAGCACAGAACTGCCTGGAGGGATACAATGGAGAACCCCACCATCCAACCCCTGGAGCTTTGTGAGCTCTGCCTTGGAAGCTCTTCAAAAACTCCTTTCCCAACCGCCGCACTTTGCAACGGGCGCAGCAGCGACCATCTGGAATCTGTCTGATTTTTACAGCGGCGGCCATAAAACCGTCCTGGGTTTTGCAACAATCCCTGGCAGACCACCGACAAACAATTGGGGAGCACACCTGCATTTTCAACTGGGCTGTGGTTGCAATGCTCAGGCTTCATGTTGTGGAACACGGAAAGGACATGTGTAGCCTCACCTGCCATCCTTGGTTTGCAGAGTAGTCTTATGGCAGGGCTGTCGAACTCACGCTCATCAAGGGCCACATCACACTTACAGACTGACCACTGCGTAACAATAATAAATAGTCCTCTATGTCCACAGACTTCTCTGTCTGTAAATTCAATGGGCCCTCGGAAAGCGACTGTAAGTTACAGTTGCCTTCCAAGGGCCCACTGAATCCACAGATGGCGAATCTGTGGATATTGAGGACCAACTATTTATTTTCGTAACACAGTGGATGACTCCATGGCTCTTTAGTTACTACCCCATTTGAGGGCCCAGTTACTACCCAATTTGAGGGCCGGAGGTTTAGCACAGCTAACTATAAGATCTATTAACCGAAAGGTTGCAAGTTCAAAGCCCCAGGTTGGCGTAAGCAGCCGACTGTCAGCCCTGCTCAGTGTTTACCTAAGCAGTTCGAAAACAGCTTTAGCAGTAATTAGAGACATAAGGTGCCACTAAAAGAGGGTGAGGTGTTTTACAACGCCATAAAGAAAAAGAAGATCAGAAAATGATGGAATGAGGAAGTCCTGACGGCTCTTCATCATAGAGGATGGAGAGACAGCACCTCCAACTGTCCATGGCATCGAAACAACAACTCCTTCTGTGCTGTCTGTTTGTGTACTGTCTATACAAACAGTATGCTGTGTATGTGTACTTGTGATCTGCCCTGAGTCCCCTTTGGGGTGAGAAGGGCAGAATATAAATAAAGTATTATTATTTTTGAATGAATGACAACTCCAGTCACTTGGGGATAATGGGAATTGCAACCCAGCATCACTTGTGGCTCTGAGGTTGGAAAAACCTAAAGGATATTTGAAAGTCATGAATCATATCCACAATTCCTGCGCCTAAATCCAAACCCAACTCTCTTGACTAAACAGAACAGCTTTCTAGACGTTCCTGTATCCCAACTCCCATCACCTCTGGTCATTATATCTAACGATGAGGAAGACAGTGGTTGTAGTCCAGCATCTGGAGCAGGGACACGTAAAAATAATGTGGTGAGCCAGCTTTGGTCCGTGAGCCTTGAGTTTGGACACATGTGTCGTTTACATCCCCGTAAACCAATCTAAAGAGAGTTAGGGTGCCACCACTGGATGTTTTGGGTGTGTCTACACTGTAGAATGAATGAAGTTTGACACCACTTTGGCTGACATGGCTCAATGCTGTGACATTCTGGGAGTTGTGGTTTTGAGCAGGCATGGGCAAACTTGGGCACTCCGGCTCTTTGGGATTTCAAGTTCCACAATTCCTATGGCATCAGACAGGATGAATCCCACAGTGTAGATCAAGCATGGGCAAACTTGGGCCCTCCAGGTGTTTTGGACTTCAAGTCCCACAATTTCTATGGCATCAGACAGGATGAATCCTACAGTGTAGATCAAGCATGGGCAAACTTGGGCTCTCCAGGTGTTTTGGACTTCAAGTCCCACAATTCCTATGGCATCAGACAGGATGAATCCTACAGTGTAGAGCAGGCATGGGCAAACTTGGGCTCTCCAGGTGTTTTGGACCTCAAGTCCCACAATTCCTATGACATCAGACAGGATGAATCCCACAGTGTAGATCAAGCATGGGCAAACTTGGGCTCTCCAGGTGTTTTGGACTTCAAGTCCCACAATTCCTATGGCATCAGACAGGATGAATCCCAAGGATGGCAGGTGAGGCTACCAGGTAGGCTGGTAGGAATTGTGAGAGTTGAAGTCCAAAACACCTGGAGGGACCAAGTTTGCCCATGCCTAGTATAGATGATCCTTCAATCTAATCTAACAGTAGTTTGGGAACTATCTGAAGTCTCAAGACCTTACAAAACCATAACTCCCAGGATTTGACCCCACTTGAATGGCCACAGCTCACTGCGGTGCGACTCTGGGAGTTGGACTTCGAGAAGGCCTTCAGTCTTCCCTGCCCAAAGTGTTGGTGTCTCACCAAACTACAACTCCCAAGCCTCAATAGGATTGGGGGAGCATTTCTGAAGACTGGGAAGGTGGGGTTCTCTGCCACATCCCTTGCATGGGATCACTAACGCCTTTTGTTTCTCGGCGCCAACTGCAGTTCTACCTCCATGAGTGCCCAATGGCGCGGCTTTCCTGCTGAGTTAGCCTATGGAGATCATCACAATCTTTGCACCTCCTGCAGGCTTGGATGCCTTGCTTATTTATTTATGGGGAGAGACAGACAAACAGATAGACAGAGTCCCCTGCTTGAGAAGGCACAAATCCAACATCTCCCCTGGGATACGCTCCTG